AACTGGAGACTCCATAACTGTATTTCATTGACAACATCACAGTAATAGTTGCAAAGTAAATGTCAAATGTTGTATTATAAACATTCTCAGTATTTTATTTTATTCTGTGCTGATAAATTTAATATGGATCCATCCCTGTAAAAGTTTTCAATTCTTGACCAAACAACAATAAAATGTAAGGCATCATAATGAACTATATATTTTACCATTAAAAACTGTGTTAAATACTATAGGGGCTTAAAATACATCAAAGAGTCATCATCATCAAACAGTATGTAAAACTGAATGCAATATTCTATGAGGTTTACTAGTGCAACGTGATGCCTTAAGAATAACTTCTCTGTTTTAAATTCCACATCAAGTGCAACATACAGTAAAAAGTCTACACACCCTTATTGAAATTGCAGGTTTATGTGATGTGTAGTGTGCTCTCACAAAGCACCAGTTCTGTAGGGTTTGGGCATTTACTGGGACAATTATTAATTGTAGCAGTAAATCACAAAACTGATTCTTTTGATGGCTTTAGAATCCAACCAGGTTTATTCCATGCTGAAAAAAAGAAGAAAGAGAACACAACGTTTCGGCCGTGGAGCCTTCTTCAGGTGCACACTGTCATCAGTGAGACAAAAGAACGTTTTTCTTTCTTGACCAAATTCAGCCATCATTTTGACGATTTGACATTTTTTTTAAAAAAAAAAATACTGGAGATAACTGAACATGAAATGTTTTTAGGAGACATGGCGGAGATTTGGCAATGGAATTAAAGTTTGTCTCATCTGCTCCCCAATGAAGTCAACACTCCATCCGAGGTGCTGCAGTATTTGATCAACAAAAATATGAAATCTGCGTTTACCAAACACAGTAATAACATGTTGAGTGTTTTTAACAATTCCACGAGCTGTCGCCAGTGCTGAACGCTCGTTTAGCAAACTGAAATTGATCAAAACTTCTCTAAGGTCCACCATGTTGCAGGAAAGACTGTCAGCTCTGGTTTTGCTGTCTATAGAGAACAGCACCGCAAGGCAGATGGATTTTAATAATATCATCGCTAAGTTTGCTGCGACAAGTCAAGTTGTAAACTTTTATAAATAACTAGTTACTAAGTATCAAGTTCAATATGTTAGACCAGTGGTTCTCAAACGTTTTGGAGCAAGTACCACCCCTAATCCAACCAAAGCATCCAAGTACCACCTACAAGTCATCTTCTCATAGGAACCCCAGAAA